TTTGGTTTAATACCATGCCCCCCCCCCCCCCCCCGCCCCCACCCTTTCTCAAAACAAAAATATGTAGTCAAAGTTGCAGTGAAACCATGTTCTATTCTAACTCCTTAGGTTCAATGCAACAACGAGAATCCACATCACTGACACTATCTAACTGAATGGAAGTATGAAACTACTGTAAAAAGTGTTATTTTAACATAAGATTCTCCATCCTGCATAAATGCACTATAAACTAGTCAAACAACAACAGTGAAACACTATGCAACCTTTAAATGATTCATAAATCAATTTTTTTTTATTTGTTTTGTTTCATATTGGAGTTGGCAAGGGCAAAAGAGAACAAAATTATATTGAATATAATTAAAGAATGCAAGGACATTAAAGGAGTAGAAACATACTTTAGATAAATGTAATGATCACGGTGACATTTCTTTAGAGAAGCTTGAAGTTCCATACTGCAGAATGCTGATACAGGCAGAAGCGCCACAATTCACCAGAATATAATGCTATAAAGGTCAGACAAGTTGAATTTTATAACAGTATTATCCTTCAAATATGTATTCTTGTATGCTAATCCAAATTCCAGAGGCCATACATAATTTATTCCAGCATCACACAGTCTTCGGAATATAATAAATTTGAATCTTGAAATGTAACAAGGCTACCTAGTGAATCTTGTCTTTTCCACATCCACAATTCTGCACTGAGTTACATATGTCTAAACATATAGACAAATAATAAACCAATGATCTGTTGATAAAGGTTCCAGAATGCTTGTGTTATGAAACCTGAGTTTATTGTTCAAAAATTTGCAAGGATAGGCAGCAAGGAACTAGGTGTAAGTCACACTAAGGTGAGATCACCAATGAATGCATATCTTCATAGCTCAAACTATGCTCTGTACCCACAAACTTGATCTTGATGAAACAAGACATATTTTACCAGCATTAAAGAGTTGTTATCCCATAAAGGGTGGTATACTTTTATAAATAGTTAGAACCATAAAAAGACATAACTTGTTCACCATTGACGTTTCTGCTATGCAAGGCTGGACATGAGTCAATCTGAATTGAGCCACCACTGGTCAAAGATTTACTCAAATAGCATAAGACTAACTCAAAGCCACCCTATATATGAACTCGGAAGAAACACCAATTAGAATTTAAGTTGGCAGCCGAACTGATTCCAATCAAATCATCAATTACTGATATTAGTTGTGCTGGGTGAGAAACAAATCCATAGCTCTCCATGTATAACAATGTGGCTCAAATGTAAATGAATGCTCTATTGTATTGACAAATAAAATCTGCCATGTGAGTCTGTTGACAATATGAAACAAAACTTGGATACCATTCTTCCATTGGTAGCAAGAAACCATTCAAGCACTGCCCTCATTATGGATCCTTTACAAGAAGGTGGCCTGTGAATTAGTAGTATGTTATAGAGCACATAAGTATATAGGAGCACAGAGACACAGGGTTATGGAATGGCACCATGAGCATCATAAAAATAGGACAAACCTATTTACAGGTGTCATTACCTGCAGAAAACGTTAAGGTCAGGTTGGCTAAGCTTTTGTGCATTATACCCGGAGAAAACTTTTTGAGTCAGGTTTCCCATTCGTAAGAAAGGCTTGATGAATTTAAGAGGATCACAACACGAACTAGTGTGTTCATGGGCCATCACTTGATTGAATGGCATTGACTAGAGTCTCAGAAAGATGTCTATCAAGTGTAAAGCCTTTCTCCATCATCTGATCCCAAACCCTACAGGCCAGTGAAAGCCTTTTCTCTCTTATAAGCCCTCCAACTATCAACTTGAAAGTTACCTCATCAGGGTACAACGCTTTTCTCTGCATTTCATCATATAGACTCATGGCATCCATAACTCTGGAAGCCTTGCAAAACCCATTCACAAGTGCATTGTACGATATGACATCTGGATTTACCCCATTCTCCACCATGTCACGAAAAACACTATGAGCCATATCAACCTTCCCAACCTTGCATAGATGATCAACTATTGCCGTATAGAATATTCGATCAGGAAGAATACCCATCCTTGTCATCTGATCAAGCAGCTTCTTAACCACTTGCGTACTCCCTTCTCTCAAAAACGCATCTATAAGTATATTGAACGTCACCATGTCCGGCCTAATCCCCTTCCCACACATCTCCTCAAACAGCTCGTAACCCCTCCTAGTCCGGCGCCTCTTACAAAACGCCGTGATAACAGTATTATACGAAACAACATCACACACCCCTCTGGCCTGCATCCTCTCCACCATCATCAAATAAGCCCTATCCACCATATTCGCCTTGCAAAAACCCTTCAACAGCTCATTATAGCTATACAAATCCGGCTCCACCCCGCTCCGCTCCATCGTCTCCACCAACCTCACCGCCTCGTCCACCATCCCCTCATCACAACAATAATTTAACAGTATGTTATAAGTAACCAAATCCGGCACACACCCATTGCCACTCATAAAAGCCTTAATCTTCAAGGCCTTATCAACCCTCCCCATCCTACAAAACCCGTCGATCAAAGCATTATAAACCAAGCTATTAACCTTCACCCCACCCTTGATCACCCCAACAACAAGCTCATAAGCCAAATCCACGCGCCCCCCGCCGCACAACCCGACGACAAGAGCAACACACGCTTTACAATCGGGACTCAAGCCTTGGTCAATCAAACGACGCCAAACCCTAGCGGCCTCGTCGAAGCGTTTCGCTTTGCACAAGGCGTGGACGACGATGGTGTAGGAAACGACGTCGGGGTCTCTTCCCTTGGAAGGCATGGAGTTTAAGAGCTCGAGAGCGGTTTCTAAGCGATTTTGGTGACATAAGAGGTTGAGGTAAGCGTTGAAGGCCCAAATATCGGGGACGAAGCCCAAGGCGTCCATGTCGAGGAGGAGGTCGTGGATGAGGGGGAGGTTGTGGGCGGAGCAGAGAGCGCAGATGAAGCGGGAGTAGGTGAGGGGGAGGAGGGAGAAGCCGCGAGGGATGACGTGGCGGCGGTAGTAGTGGTGGGCGAGGTGGAGGCGGGAATGGCGGATGAGGACGCCGATGAAGCGGTTGTAATCGACGCTGAAGACGCGGCATTCTGCTTGGGTCATTTTGTCGAACAGGTGGATGGCTTGGTTGATGAGACCGGCTTTGACTAAGTTGGATATGTGAGAGCGGTAGGCGAGGCGGTGTGCGCCAATGCTGCTCTGATACATATCACGCACTTCCAATTTCCTCATTCATTCAATTCAACTCTGCATCTCTCTCTATCCTACTAACCTTCATTCCGCTCCGTCAGTTATATAATCAATGCACTCGCCCCAACAAAAGCTATATAGACCCACACCTCTCTCTGTTCCTTTTACTTTGTCACACTGCTTGTTTGTTTTGTTTCTCTTGTGACTCCGTCTGCAACCGGAGGGAAGGCTGGGAACTGGGAAGAGAAAGCCTTGTTTGATTCTAGGAAACCATTCAGCGCCTTATTGGGCTTCCAGGTTTTCGGCCTTATTGGGTTGGGTTGGATTAGTATAGTTGCACCAATCCAAAATAAAATATATGTTTATTTAAATTTTTTTATTTTCTTTTTTGTAATTGTACAACATTTTTAAAATATCTTTTTTAATTTTTATTCTATTTTAAAAAATAAAATATTAAAAATATGTTTATTTAAACTATTTTAAAATATATATATATATATAATGTCTTTATTATACATATATACATATATAACAATTTTATTAATAAAAATATATTTATATTGCTATAAATTAACTATGTATATACATATACAAAACTTTTTCACTTATATTTATTAATAAGTTTTAGAAAATATATGTAAGACATTTATATGTTTTTGTACTTATAACCACTTCACATGTTTAGAGAAAAAAAAAATCATAATAAATTAACTTGCGTAAATAGTAAAAAGACGATGGAATGATGAAATCCAAAAAGAAAAGAAAATGTGTGCAATTACGATTTATGTCATTCAGTTTTCAATTTTTTGAAAATTAATTTTTTGTTTTTAATTTTGGTTTTATTTTAATAAATTCCATAGGAAATATTTTAAAAAAATAAAAAATAATGTTTTTGCCACTATCTTTTTTATTTTTACTAAAATAAAAATATAAAATGGACATATCAAACAATCTTTGCTTGTCTCATTGAGTGATTTCTATTTTTTATGGTTACACAGTAGTGGCATGGTTGTTACTCTCTTCATTTAATAATAAATATTATGTAAGAAAAAAGTAGTTTTCGAAACAAGTATTGATATTTTTAAATATAAATTTAATTATTTTTTTCATTTATACTTCTACAATATAACTTTTAGTAAAAAGATTTGTCGATTTGCATTATATTTTTAGATTTCCTTAATTGAATTTGGTCAAAATATTTTAGTTTCGTGTTTGCCCCAACAATGGTAGCATGTTTACTCTTAACACCGATTACAGCGATCACATTTAACCCAACACATGTACGGTTAAATTCACTTATTTTGAGTTAAGTTAGAATATAAAAGGAATTTCGCAAAATTAATATACTTCACATTTAACTATCATATATTCAATGGACAACGCACGTAGCGTAATTAAATGCAACAAGCATAACTAACTTTCCCACCAATTAATCTCTATACGATGAAACTCTTTCATGGTGATACTATCTATTCTTCATTTTCACAAACACTTTAGCATTGGAATTCTTGTAGATGACATTTTTAGATTTTCCTAAAATTTGTGATTCTCATCATCTACACCGCTACAAAAACCATTAAAGACATCAATTCTTATTAAACATCACACTACGTCATTTCCCGTAAAGAATATTAATAAAAATAAATAAATTTTATTAAATTACTATTTTCTTTAATTAATGTTTTAGTTTTTATTGAATTGCACAAAAAAAAAAACTTAAAACAACACTTATTATGGAACAAGGAGAGAATTTGTTTTAAAGTTTAGAAATTTTGACTTAAATTAATAAGTTTTTAATATTCATACAATTACTTTTTATTTGTATCCTTATTCAGACAAATTTCATTTTACTCATTCATATTTTAATACTAAATTTTAATCTAATTTGTATTTTAACTTTTAACCAAATTTTTTATTTGTATTCAAACTTTTAACCTAAATTTGACGTCGTTGATGCATTCCATGAATATTATTTTTCACGTAATTATGTCTTGCATGGTCACGAAATTCTTATCGTGAGAACAAGTTTCATCGTTTTCTATTGTCATCTGTCTCATTAGGTGAAATCATGGTAATGTTGGCTCATATTTAAAATTTGTAATATCTCAAAGTTAAAAGATTTATGAATATGAAGAAAAATATTTTTTTTAAAGAAATTTATGTTAGTTTGAATTTTTATTTCAATTCATGTTATAACAATCATCCAAACATGCTTTAAATTAAATTTTCACCTTTATGTTAAGATAAATAGCGTACATGTAACTTATGACATCATTCTTTAAACTCTCACTACTTTTTCAGCCTACAACCTATTTATAAAACCATTTGATAAAAAAAAACAACAACTGTGATTTAAAAATAACAATGGCAACAAATAAAAAATAACTTAAAAAGTACTAAATAAATTGTAACATGTGAAGAATGATGAAAAGAATGGTTTAAGGTGATTGGTGATAAAAGTGCAGTCTGAAGTACAAATTATAAAACATTTGTACATTCACAAAAACACACAAAATCACAATGATATTTTTTACGATATAAATCCATATGATTTTTAATTAGGAGATTCAAAGGTGTTCCCAACCCTCTAAATTTAGTTAAATTGTTCATAGTGACATTTTTTTATAACGTTCTATTTCATGTTTAGGTTTTTTATCATTCGTAACAAATTTTCATATTCATCCTTATTTAACCTAATGGACTTTTGTGGTGGTTAAATATTATGTATCCATATGTCATGAAACATTATATTTAACAAGAAATCTTGTGTTCAATTCCTGCCATGAGTTTGAACAAGTGATAGTTACAATATCAAGAGCTTGATTAGTCTCTCACCTAATGGGTTGAGAGATACTCTTGGCAGTCCCAACAAATATCAATACTTATTTTAATCAAAACATCCCATCTCTCTCTTTCCCCACTTATTCTAGCCTTATTTTTCAAAACCCACACTCTCTCAAAAAGTTATCCAACACAAGTGTTTTTCTCTACTACATCTTTACTTTAGCATAATCAATTCTCTTGAAGTTCTCCTAGGTACAACTTTTTTTTTTTGGTCCCATCTTAGGCCACACGGTGTTTGGTGGTGGGGGTTGACGTCTCTTTAGTGTGTTTGGGTTATTCTACCCTTTTGCTAGCAAGTTCTAGGTTTCAGTGATGGTGGGGTTTGATGCCTATTCACTATGTTTGAGTCTCTCTATCAGTTTTTTAGCAAGTTCAAGCTTTCGGTATAGATCGAGTTTGGTGCTTCCTTGGTGCATTTGAGTTTCTTTGACAACCAAAGTCTATCCAAGTTAGATCATCACCAAGTTCATCATGTAGTGGAAGTAAGTTCATTTTGCAATTTTAAGTTATTTATTATTATTTTTTATTATGGTTGTGATTTTGATTTTTTTGGATCTAAGTTTGATCATACTTTATTTTTTATTTTGGACAATGGTTTGATTGCAATTTAGTGTTTTTGTTAATTTTCAATCCCTATAATTTTTTTTGTAATCATGTTATTGATATAAAATATCTACAAATTTTTGTCAGTAACTAATTTCTATCAGAAAACTTAGGTACCATAAGTGGAATCTCCCCCTCTCAAACTATGTTTTTCATTTATAATATTTAAACTCAAGATATTACTTAAGGAAATCGAGTTCAATATGAAGTACTCACTAGCTTGTCAATGTCTAATTTACGTTATAAAAAAAAACCTAGTTGATCACATTTAGTGAGATATTTTTTTTGACTATAATATTTTCATCTACAAAATTTGAATATAATCCTAGTTCATTTCCACTTAGCATAGTGAATTATTAATCCTTTTTCTTTTTTCTCAATTGATTAAGAACCTATTTTTCTTATTGTTAAAAGAATCTAAAAATACATTGCTTTTACCAATATTTTAAAAACAAGTTCAATAATTAAGCTAGTAAAAACATTTGTGGCTTATTGATTGAATCATGATAGGTGAGTAATAATTAAAATTTAATTTTTTATATATATTTATATTAATAAGGTAATATAACTTTATAAGAAGTCAAGATATAAAAATTAATAATTAATTTAAAAGACTAAATTATACATTTTATGAGATAAAATGAATGACAATTAAAAAAATGTATACCTATATATTATAATTCTTAAATAAGTACTTTTATTTATCTCGGACATGTTTTCTAATATATTTGCTAAAACTTGTTTTCTACGTCGATTTTTACCAATTTTCATCGTTTTTAACTAGTTTAAAGATAAATTAATTATTTTAACCAAATCGATTTTTAGTCATATTGACTAAATTTTCTGGTCCAATTTTTCAGACCTTGAGTTATACAAACAATGCATGTATAAAAAAATGTTGCTTCATTTACTCCAATCATAAATTCAGTCAAACATTGTTTAACCTTAATGAACCCATATAAGAGATAATATAATTTTATAACAAGTAAAGATATTAAAAAAAAAATTGACATTATTGACTATATTATATGTTTCACGAGATAAAATTAATAACAATTAAAAAGTGTATACCTATTATAATTCTTAATAAGTATTTTTATTTATCTTAAACGTTATTTTAATGTGCTTGTTCAACCTTTTTTTTTTTACATTAATTTCCACCAATTTTCATTGATTTTAACCTTCTAAGTTAATTTTTTTTATAGCAATGATTCATTCTTTGAAAAATGCTTCCGATTCATCATCTGGAAAATATTAATATTTTATAAAAATTTATTATAAAATAATTATTTAATTTAATATTTT